GGCCGGATTAAACTTCTTGGTGGCCTTCCTTAACGCGGAAAACTAAAATGCACTCATGCGACTGAGCTAGAAGAAATGTTACGCAATCGACGAGCTTACGAGTGAAATGAAGCCTGCTAGGTTTTCCATAGAAAACAAGGAATAAGACAGTGACAATTGTCGCGCACATATTAAATGCTAGAATCGAATTACCCTGTAAAGACCAAAAGAACAGCACGACACAAAAACAATATGAATACCTCGATTGTTTGATCATCAATATTGGTTTGGTCATGAAGAGAAGCCTGACGTGGTCCAGTGAGCCAAATACTAGTAACCTTGGAGCTTAGCTAATATCGTTTCGGCGAAATAAAAATTTGCCGTCTCGGGTTGCTGGAATTGCATATCTCAATAGTTGAGGCCAAAATCATTTCTCACTGTCTTTTATAGGAGGTGAAGCTCCCTGTGGGCATTAAGGTGTTTCTCGCCTGCTTTCGCGTTAACATTAATTTGGTCATCCGCGCGGACGCGTTTCATGACCGGAAAAATAGAAGGAAAAATTAAAAAGCTTTTTGTAAGGCACTCAGTCAGGTTTGATCGGCGCATTATCTAAACATCGAATTATTGGCGGAGATGTTATCTTCACATTTAGGTTCTCACGGCGAATAAACGTTACGTAAATCATAGTATGTTATTTCTCATATCTGTGTTAGGAATGATAACTCTTCTCGGGGGGCGTAAGGGTAAAAGTCACTTTCATAGTAAAGTGGTGTTGGTGGTTTTCTAGATCTTTTCGAAAACTTTGAACATTATATTATTTTTCTCCTTTCGCCTTTTGTAAGAGTAAACACCTCTAAATATTAATAATATTCACTGAAGAAAGAAAAAAAAAACAAAAAAAAAAACGACAATGATAAGACGTCAATGCTAAATGACCTCCCCCCACCCCACCCCACCTCACACCACTTCATACACACAGTCCTTTTAATTGTCTATGAAAATGTTCATTTTTTAATTATTTTTGTCCAATTACTAATATACTTTTCCAATTAACATCCGAACACAGATTTTAATTCACAAATAAAAAAGTTAACGGTCACGTGATATGCTGAGAGGGACTGAAGGAAGATAAAAACCTAAATTTTTGACATACAGAAAAATACTCTTTTACTGTGAAGGTCTAGTCAAAGAGCCCTTTTATAGTGTCTTATATATATTGCGTGCGACAAGGCATCAACTAGTTCTTAGACTTGAGGACTGCTCATTTCAAAACATGAGCATGCATTATGTGAAGCTTCCTATATAAGATTCTAGCAACAATGCATGGATAGAGAAACGAGGTTCTTCCGCCGACTCAACACTGAAGTCAAGTTATTAAACACCTTTTAAGTATATTGTTATCTAGTCGCTGCCTTTGTTACCTGTTTTATTACCATAGAAGCCCTGCTATGAGAAAAGGAAACGAAAGAAAGCAAAAATAAATAAATGGAAGGATATAAACGAATATTAGTATAAAGACAAAATAAGTGTTAGTTTTTCGATAATGCCGCAGGTCTTGCTAATCAACTTGTTCTTTTAGAGAGCCGAAAACAGCTGAGTTTGCTGTTTAGTCATTGTAACGTTTATTTTATTTCAAGTTGAATTTTTTTCTTTAGTATTTTGCCTTCTTTCTCATTTTGCTATTGAAATCTTTTTTTTTCTGCTCCTTTTTCTTCTTTTTCTGTTTTGGAATTCTGATCTCCTCGTCTACTTTTTACATCCCTTCCTCTCTTCGATTTCTCTTCTCCTCGTTGTCTCGAGCTCTGTCTCATTCTTTCTCTCTCTCTCTCTCTTTTCCTTCTCTCTTCTTTTTGTCCTATAGAGTATCATTTAGCTTCAAACTAGCATCTACCATCGTAGTAATATTGAAATCCAATTTACTTGTGTTCCGGATTCGGCTAACTTAACAAATTAAATTTCAAGCAATCAAAAAAATAATTAATAATTATTGGCTACAAATTGAAAAAGAAAAGAAAGAAGAAGAAGAAGAAGAAGAAGAAAAAGCCAATTCGTTTCAAGAACAAGAATTTTTGAATTTTTCTGGTCTCATCAGTTTTCGTTCAATTACAAAATCTCCATCCAATAAAAACGTTGCTAAAAATGATCTTATTGGATTTTCTCTAAATAATAATCATTACATTTTACTCTCGCTTATGACTGCCCAAGAGCCTTCGGCCAAACCCTTATATGGCGTGAATTTGACATAATAAATGTATTATATGAATTTTTTTTCGTGTCAAGTTCAGTTAAGGTCACAAGTAATTAGCTATTCAGAGGTAGAAGAAAAAACTGGGTCGAGTTGGCATGGCAGTGCAGTGTGGGACTGTTTTAGGTGACGAATTAAACGCTATCTTTGAAATATGTCCCCTAGAAGATAAATCCAGTTTTTTCCAAAACTTGGAACAGCTAATAATAAGCCTGAAGCGAGATGATGTTTTACCCCCATCTCTAGACCATAATCCTTTTCACATTGCTTTTGTTCTTTAATTATGACTATTGTTCCTGTATTCTCTAAGGAATCAAAAATTTTAATATGAAAGAATTTTAAAAACTATTTTGGTATAGAGTCGGGGGTAAAACGTCATCTCGCTTCAGGCTTATTGCAATTTTTTTCCAAACCAGAATCAAGTCGTCATTATTTTTAGTTTATATCATTGAATTTGGCTTTCGCATGCATCGCAAATTATCAAGGCTTACTGTTTCGGCAGATAACACGGCCTTGGTCTTGATAATTTACAATATCACGACAATATCCGCCGATATTCCAGTGAACCAGAAGCCATTTATTTTATATTTCAAGGATTCCACTAACTAAAAACTTCGTTACGTTCATAATCTATAGACGATTCAAAATATTGCTTCGCTTGTCAGCCAATTGTTTTTTTTGCGGACCTTTTCTCATCTCAGCCGCCTCGTGAACACTAGAGTTTGTCAACCAATCTGATTACGAATCGAAAACAGTAGAATTCGAATTACATGTTTTAAAAGTCTATGAAAGCTATTCAAGGAGATGCAATGATATAAGGGAAAGAAAAAATATATATATACAGTCAATGTCATTAATGTTGTACACCAAAAAAAGACATTTACACATTTAGACATTTAGACATTTAGACATTTAGACATTTAGAAATTTAGACTAAAAGAAATATCACGTGTTTCCTCGAAGGTTCTGGCATAAAACAAATGCTGAAATAACATTCTCCATCGAGTTGAATTTTACATTTAAAGTTCAGGCTGACGCACACAAAGCAAAGAATACATAATGAAACACGTGATATATCTTTTAGTCTAAATGTGTAAATGTTTAAATGTGTAAATGTCTTTTTTCGGTGGACAACGTTAATGACATTGACTGTATTTCATTAATTAAATTAAAAAGTATATTTACACAAATAAAAATAAGATAAAATAAACTCGAGTGTTCAAGGTTAGAGTAGAACGACAGTAAAAGAACCAAGTGGGACGGTAAATTTTATAGGTGTTTTTTATTTAAGCTGGAGAAGGTGCGAAGATTAAAGGATTCATCGTTGATATCCAAGATATTGCTTCACTTCTAGGCCAATTTTTTTTTTTTTTTCTTTTCTTTTCCGGACCATTTCTTATCCTCGGCCATTATCGCTCAGTCCCAGCTGCAAGAAGAGGTTTAATCATTAACTCAATATTCCCTCTAACTTCTAAAATCAACAATGAATCCCTTAAAGTACCTTTCACCCTTCTGACAATATTCTCAATATTGATTCTTCATAGAGAATGCTGTTGAATGACCCCCAAAAAATCAGTTTGAGTGCGGCTTTTTGAACTTATAAAGGCTTTTCAATGTCATATGCTAATGATTGTGACGTTCGCGGAGTAATCATTTAATATGCAAAACATTACGAGCACAAATTCCCTGCTAGCAGAGCCTATTTTCCTTTTGTTTATCGCGCCTGAGTGGCGTAACTTAGCAACGTTGTCATGAATTTGACAGTCGCTCTCGTCACAATCTCGTACCCAGAGCCTGTGTTTCTTCTGTCCTGCGGTGAAGAACGAGGGCTCTGGCATAATCCATTTTTCGAGACCAGGATTTCGTGGACTTACAGTATAAGAGCGTATGCGTTCAAAGACTTGCCAAAAAATTTTAAAATATGTTCCTCATTCCTAATTATAATTCTGATGGGGAGTCAACACAGAACTTTGTTTTAAAGCATGATTTTCATATATTATATTTCACTTCCGGAAAATTGCACATGCGCCAAAAAATGGATTATGCTAGAGCCCTCGTTCTTCGCCGCAGGCCAGAAGATACGCAGGCTCTGGTTAGGAGATTGCTCTCGTCAAACAACGTTTGGCACCACGGTGCGTTACATTAATTTGCTCATGCGCACTACATGTACCCGGTTAAAAATCGGTTTTAAAACAGGTTTCGTTCGTCCACAATAGTGGAAGGCGGCCTCCAAGGAAACACTCTACATCGGCAGATTCTCTCTCCTCCCCGCCTAATAGAAGGGAGGAGAAACTCCTAGCAGGGAAGAGCACAGATAAATTGAATTTAAATTCATGTTATTGTTTTCCCCATTGCCCTAATAGAAATGATTTCGAGTTAGTTTAGTTTTCCAACAGAAGCCGGTGTTTCGAATTACATGGAAAAACAAATAAACAAATGCCTCCTCATACCTCAAACCTTTATAACTTCAAGAACCCGCACTCAAACTATGACATTTTTTCGGGTCATACAACATCTTACCCCATTTAGAACCAATACTGAGAATATTGTCAGAAGGGTGATAGGCATTTTAATCTTCACTTCTCCAACAGCTTAAATGAGTATCACTTATAAACTTTACCATTTGACCATGTTCTTTTAAAAGAGATTAGCCGCTTTTCTATTCTGCCAAAAGGTGCAAGGAAACTGGGTCGAGTATTTCTTTCCCACGTGACATGGTTATTTTTAGATATTGTATCCATTGAATTACCGGTTCCCACCAACAAAGAGTAAAGAACGCTTTTATTTATTTATTTATTTAGAAAACAATAGGATTAGCATAATTTAGCAGTATTTATGTTACACACTTATAGTGCTTGTACTCTATCACTATAGTGTGTATTATTCCTTTCTCTAATTTCTTAGCTTTTTATGCTGTATATTGATCGTTATTGACCGGCTGTGAGGTTGCATATGCTGTATGTTGAGCATTATTGACCGGCATTAGAAGAAAGGTCTACAATGAGAGAGAGAAAACACTGCCCTACTTCTTAGTGCAAAAATCAATAGCAAAAAAAAAAAAAAACTTATAACCATTACTCCTCGTAAGAGACTCTTCTGCGAGGTCGTTTGCACGAAATATGGCGTCATTTTATAATTTTCTTACTTTTTCAAATAAACATTTTGTTAAAAATACACAAAGGATTCTTGGAGTTGAGTACATGAAAACTTATTTAATAAAATAGTGCTGATTTTTTTTTTTTTTTTTTTGCTTAAAAGCAAAGCAACTGTATAGAGTGAATATCTTTCTTTTTGCTTTGTTTCCACGTGCTAAAATCAGCCTGTTTTACTCAAGACAATAGCTTGGATAATAAATTCATAATCTCTTTAGTCCGGCAGGGGAGGGTTTGGTACCAGCATTTCACTCATCGCAGATTCGAGATTCAAATCGCATCGTTAATCATAACAACGAAAATACTTTGCTAGGAGAAGAATCAGCGAGTTCCTGACGATGCTCGAGGACCATTAGTCCAGGTCTGGTGATTGTTAGGAGGCCGTTTAAACAAAGGTAAGGTGACTCTAATGCTAGGGATAACTCTGTTTCTGTTTTCCCCTGGGTACATAAAGAAAGCAAGACTTGTTTCTAGCTTTAGGGCCACCCTACGTTTTTCTAAACTGCCTCATTCCTTCACACGGCACAAATTATTTTTGAAATCGGCCTTGTCTCTTTTCACCATGATGTTAATTTCCCACTTTATTGTCCGTTGTTGTCTAGTACATTTGCTGTGAGTGATAAAGCATAGGACCATTTCCCCCCACCCCTACCACTGGGGATTAATGAATTTGAAATTTCCCTACGAATTAATGATATACGTATACTATGTTCACTGACTAATTCTAAAGTAAGACGATATGGTAGAGAATCTTTTTACATAACTTACATTACTGTAGTGTTAAGGCAACATTTTTTGCTTTTTAAGTAGGAGAATTTACGTTTATATATATATATATGTTAGAGATACCGGAAGCAATTCTATCTTCCTATCATAACTTCTTAATAATAAGGTAATAATAGGATAAGAATAGGATAAGAATAGGATAAGAATAGGATAAGAATAGGATAAGAATAGGATAAGAATAGGATAAGAATAGGATAAGAATAATAGGAGAAAAATCGTAACCACAGAACGTCTTCGCAATTCATGAGTAAAATGTTTTCCCCAATTTTTTTTAGTGTATTTGGATAGGGTCAGTTCACTTTCGAATCAAAATAGCTCAGAAGCAACTAGAAAAGTCAACTGCCACATCAATAATGATACCAAAAATACGTCTAGTGGGCTAATAAAATATATTGGCTTAGTTATATATTAAGCACAAGGCTACTTATGGTGTGTGAGCTGGCACTCTTGCCACTTGATTCGGCTTTAGCTCTGATAAGCCTAATATATGTCAAGTGCTGTGATTGGTTCTTTGGTTGAGCCTTTTGTTTGCTATCGAATCAGCCAGATCTATGAAGACACCATTCAGAAAAGAAAATTTATTCCTAGATGTTATCTACTTAAGTAACTGAGTAACTTATTTGATTTATTAGCCCAGATGCACAATAAATGCCTTTGCCGATTACCTAGACTACTATTCTTTTGAGATTACAGCACTCGAAGATTCGGACAGATGACACACCACTACACACCGATGCGTAGTTGTAAGCGCTGTGTCCTGACTTGTCACTCATTTCAAAGTCATTTTTTGACGTACTATGTGAATCGTTATGGACCACACCACTTAGACGTATAATGTTTTCACATTCCAGACCACGTGACATTTCCTTGAGAACAAGATTTTTCTTTGAGTTGCAACCATTAAACGAAGAAATAGTTCTGTAATGACACGTGATAAAAAACGATATAAATCCACCCATGTAGATTTGCTCCGTTGGTATATCATCTGTTTCGAAATATTCACCTATTTATGCAACCGTTTTAATCATACGGGCTTAGAGGAGAAGCTAGAAGTAATAATCTCATATGCAGTAAAAGATCGGCAAATGCTTTTAGGATGTAATGCTGTTGGTATATGTCGTTGTATGTTTCCGTTTTTAAGTTGGCCATTCATTATTTGGCTATTTTATAACCGGATTTTGCTTCATCTATGTCTATATAATATGCTATCATCAGTAACTAAGTAACCTGTGCCTAAAGCGTGATTAAACAACGGAAAAAGTTCTTCACAATTATTGGATTATTGTGTTTTGATGACAGAATATAGCTCATAAAATTTCAGAGTTAGACCCAAACTCAAAACCGATTGTTTTACGCCGATTCTTACAGAGTGGTGGTTTTGAGAAAAGAGTATTTGGTGACCGATGCTTTGCTAATGGAATTAGACCTCGGTCGATTTTTCTTTAGAGCTTTTCGGAAGTCATTTTTGCCGAGAACATAGATACATGGATTAAGAAGTGAACTCAGGAACCTCAAATAAATAAAAACATATTCTGTGATCATCCCTAACTCAAAAAACGAATCACCGATGTTTTGTTGCAATCTCCATAAGAAGTATGGAAGCCAGCAAACGATGTAGACGATGAACATTATAACGAAAATTAGAGCCGCTTTCCATTCGCGTCTTTGTCTTCTTTTCGAGTCTTCCATTCCCGGCGCATTGTTCTGCCTCATAATGTTACTCTGACGTACAACCTCGTAGAATATTTTCGAGTTGACGAAGATCATAAAACAAAGAGGAAACCCAAAGAATACGACAAGGTTGACAATGTCGTAGGTTACCTCAATATCTTTAATCTTCTGAGATGGATCTTTATTAACATCGCTGGTTGATGGGTTGTGCCAGATGAGCTGTACAAAGGCAACGATGACTGACACCGACCAAATAATGGCCATTGATGCGAAACCACGGCGAGGAGTCACTAAGATGTAGTATCGCAGAGAATGTACTATTGCGAGGTAACGGTCAGCAGTGATGGCCAGCAAATGCAACACAGTTGAAATCGAGGTAAAGCGTAGGAAGTTCTCCGATAAGATACACACCATGTCTTCTCGCAGGATATTGCATGCGATGACGAGCGGGACGCAAACTAGACCAGTTAGGGTATCCGAAAGCGCCAGGCTGCAGAGCATGTAGTTAGCAGCATTTCGTAGTTGTTTTCGTCGTACAACAAGAAGCAACACAAGGCCATTAAAGGCGATGATCAGAACTGCAAGAGTGATGGGCAAAACATCAAACTTAACACTGAAACCACTATTCAGGTCACTATGATCGTCATTGTCTGTAGCGTTGAAACGACGATCACCATCTTCACTACCATTGCCTTTAGTACCATTTGAATTCATTCTGTATATCTTTTCTTCTTCTCGATATTGGCACTACTAATTCTGTTTAGTCTGTTTTTAGTCTTTATTTGGCTGTTCCTTTTATAGTCTTAGTCCCCAAAGTAGATGTATTTCTATAAGACAAGGAAATATTGTATTAGAGCAAAGTGGAGCTTTTGACAATAAAGTGTACACAGATTGACACACAATATTAACCTTAATATTATTATCCTTTCGTTTTTACTTAATCATAGGAAGTGTGCGCGGGATGACTAATAGCCGGAGGAAGAAAGCAGGCACACTTAGAAAAGTATTCACATTTGCGGGTTAGTTGCATTTCGATTTCCCTTTGATGGTTGAAGAGGCACGAGCACAGACACGAAAGTAAATTTAAACCTTCACATGTGGAAAAAAGAAGAAAACAAAAAAAATCCTTCAAATTAAGCAACCTATTCTCACAAATACGTCAAACCAACTGAGACAAGTAGTTAAATCTATGTCAATGTTGCCAAAGATATTTCCTTCGAGTTTCGTGTTTGATTAGACAAGAAGTTAAAAGTGTAGAGCAGATAACATCGATCAGTGAGTACTTGGAAATCGTGGTCACATCCATCAAGAGAATATAATATCTTAAGCGAGAATGCCCTCTGATCGAACTAATTATAGAAAACAAGGCAGAGCCGCGTGCAGATTTCTCACTTACTCTCTAAAATATTCCTGTCGGATTGTTACAAGATTTAGACGCCTTATAGAATTACTTACCAAATTCGAAATACTCTGCCAAATTTTACAAAGAATTTTCAGGAAGCAAACGACATCAGTTACCGCTTTGCTGAGCTCTGTTTTATACAGAAGTTGCCACCCTTTTTAATGCTCATAATTTCTCTTCGGTAACGTTATATACAAGTGATGAATGGCACTGATAAATGGTAGCTTTAGTTTTTATGATTAATTCGGTAATTCCGTATAAGAGGCCATCGAGCAGCACTTTGTATAACGTTAATCTACATAAGTCTTTGATGTCAAAGTCATAAATCTTAAGAATTTGAGTCTGGTTGCAAACAATTTGGCAAATACTTAATCTTTACCATGCTTTAGGTCTATTCTATTTATATTATATTTTTTTCTATTTCTTTGCTATTCTGAATTTTTGTCCAATTTGGCTATAGGTACAAATATATTTTACCATTAATTTTGGTCTGGATTAAAAAAAAAGTGTACAAAAAAGCATTACATAGCTGTTGCCTGGAAAAAGGCGTAAGAATATCATTCCACTGGGATATCTTTTGATTTTTCTTGCTCTTTACAAATATGCCAAACTTTATATGACATGCATATACACATTTTTTTTAGAAATTTCACCTGTATTCTTCGTTATGAATTCAATAACAAAGTCCAGCAGCTGCCGCCCATACAATTCATTTTTAAATGGAAAGATTGGCAAGAACTTCAAACCCAATCAAACTGTTTTCAGCATTTGGCAGAGCATCTTGAACTTTATCACGTCATTCAGCATCGCTCCAGGAGATCTATCTTTTAATTCGTCATTGAGCTAAAATGCTCTAAAGAATCTAAAGGCTTTTTTCTTATTTTGAATCGAATTTTAAATAGTCGCACATAGTACTTTTACTTTGTCTTTAATCTAATTTCCCTTTCGGGAAAATTCAAAATCAAGCAAAACAAGAACTTAATAAAGGAGTAAGTTCGTTGTTGAATGGAGAGTCCAAGAAAGGTAAAGCTATACGATGGAGTGGTTGGGAATTCGGCCAGATTTTGGTCTGAGGCCCTGAGGTTTTGGATCAAGATCATGTCATGCTGTCGGATTCGAAAGTCGAAGCAGAATTATTTCATCCACTGCAAGCCACACCAAACAGATGTTGTTAATTATGTTAGTACTTGTATAGATTGTAATTTTTACTTATATTCTTAGTTTGTTCATCTGAATTTCAAGGTGATCGGCTGATATGGATAGTGGGAAGACACACTGCTAAAGTAATGCACAAGTCGTAAAACGTTTTTCATAATGGCTCGGTGGAAGTCATGGGCTACATGTTTTGAAGATGTGATTCCGTAAGAAAATATAATGTTTTGTAATCAATTATTATTGTTATTTATTATTATCATTTTTTATTATTATTATTATTGTTATTGTTATTATTATTATTATTATTATTATTATCATCATTTATGATATCAGAACTGATAAAAATGAAATCGCTGAATCCATTCACTTTATAGAACGAGGACAGTTTTCCTGCTTCGTTTTCTTAAACTAAATAAAAATGAAACGCATAAAAATGAGATATCAGTCAATGTCTTTTTAAACAAAGCTGTACACACAAAAGTGACACCAATTGGAGTGGAAAAATACGTTTGTCATTTTTAATGTGTATTTTGTCTGAATTTATAACTAAGGCAAGTCATTGCTGTACTGGCAGTCATGTCAAGTCTACAGACATTGTTGACCTGCATTTGTCAAACTAATGACACAGGGATTGAAACTCCCACAGGATTTCCTGATTTTTTTGATTTTCTTTCAGGTTTTAGTCCGGTACCTAGACACTGATATGTCATCATAGAGTGGGGAGAGGGGAGTAGGGAGTAGGGAGTAGGGAGTAGGGAGTAGGGAGTAGTTGTGACTTTTGTTCCTGGAGATCAGAATTATTTTTAGATAATAATAATAATAATAATAATGATGATTTTATATAGCGCCTTTTCCTAAAGTCCTAAAGCGCTTTACAAGTATATTAAAGTTATTTATAAATATTTTTACTTTTTATTTTATTTTTATATTTAAAAAAGTCAATAATTAATATAAATAAAAATATGTATAAATCTTCTATCAATTAGTAAAAGTTAGAATCATATATATGTATGAGTTTTATTAAATAAAGTATTTTTTGAATAAATGAGTTTTTAGATTTTGTTTAAAATTGTCATTTGATTGGCTGGCTCGTATACGATATGGTAAATCGTTCCAAARTTTGGGAGCACAAGTTGAGAAAGCACGTAGTCCATAGGTTTTCAGATTATATTTCATCTAGATAGATGGAATGGAGGAATAAATAAATAAAAGAATAGATGAAAATAAAATGATATCATAAAATCAGAAAGAATGATAAATTGGTTCC